TCACGCGCAAAGTGAGCGTGCCGTCGGGCGGCGTTCGTCAGTTATTCGTCGCATAATTCATTGCCGTCGTCGTCGCCGTCGGCGTAACCGCGCGGTGCATTACGGGAAATGTCCCACAATGCACCGCGCGGGACCCTCGTGACGTCACTCGTGACATTTCCCATGATGCACCACGCTGGGAGGAGGAGGAGGGGGAGGAGGACGAGGGCGAGGGGAGGAGGAGGAGGAGGAGTGGAAGGGGAGGAGGAAGTGGGGAGGGGAGGAGAAGGGAGAAGGAGGGGAGGAAAAAAGGAGGGAGGAGGAGATGGAGGAGGGGGAAGAGCAGGAGGAGGAGAGGAGGGAGGGGAGGAGGATGAGAGGGGAGGAGCTTAAAGTAGGAGGGGAGGTTTAGGAGGAAGAGGAGGGGAGGAGGAGTAGCAGGGAGGATGAAGAGATAAGGAGGAGGGATATGCTCTCCCCTCAGTACCCTTGTGGCGACAGAAAGACGTTTGCCAGTTTAAAAACAAATATTATCACCACAATTATCAAAGGAAAAAGGAGCTGCTAAAAATCCATCCTGCTGCCGCCGTGATCCCAGCCAGTCTCGCCGTTCGGGCAGGGCTCGCGATTCATGTCTGGTACGCGCCACTGCGTGCGTCACACGGCGTTGGATCACTGTCACGCGTCTTGGCGTGGCAGGCATTCCTGTAGTTATCGCTTGTCCGCTACACCCTTGCCTCCTCTTCCTCAAGAGGTGCGCTCTAATTTGGCGTTACAAGGTGTTGTAAACGTCTTTCATTTTTTTTTAACATCAACTCTAGAGGTATAGTGATCGGCTCATGATCATGCTTTCACGATATTTCAGGCATATACCACAGAGATGGCATAAATATTGAACAGTGTGCTTGAAACAATTAGTGTTCAACTTTACTTAATCTGGGTTGAATTTGCACAATTCTTCGTAGATTAGAGCGCAAACGTCCGACCCACTGCTTTCAGTACGACGGAATATGTAGGCGGCTCTGGGTATCACCATCTTCACTGGTAGAGAAAATAGCATATTAAAAAAGAATATGCATGACAAAACAAAGAAAATGCAAATGAGGCTTATGGTGGACAATTGAAGAAATGCGCGAAGAGTAACAATGACGGCTAGGACAATTCATTCCTAAAACTATAATAGCATTTATATATTTTGGAGAAAATCTCAGCAAATGCACATCTTCCGCAATATCTAGGATCGTAAAAGTAATAATAGCTGCAGATATAAGCATGCAATCGGTGCCGGCGTTACATTTTTATAAAGTTTTCAATTGGCTGATTGATTGGACCAATAACTGTTTCTGGCCTTGATGTCGCTTGTAGTCAAGTGATATTCGAAAAACTCATGGGTCTCCCAAAAAGGTTCCTTTGCATAGATGCCGCCCGCTCCCCCCTCCCCCCCCCCCCTTTTCTCCTCCTTCTTTCAGTCTGAAGGAGAAGTTCAAATAAGCCAAATTAACAAGAGTGTCTGAACTTTTGAGAACCCTTTCATTTAAATAATCGTTAGAAGGATCTGGACAAAGAAAACGTTGCTTTAAACTTGTGCATTTGCATTGATTATTGTCCTTCGAATCGTCGCACAAACGCTAAGGCGGAACTCTCTCCTTTCAAATGCCGTTTTAAGTATTGGCGTCTCTGTTTTTTCTTGTTCGGAATAAATGCAGCGCGGAGCGGATTTGAATCGATCACTCGCACACTCACTCTAAGCTGCATCGCTTGGTAAATCAGGCAGAGTTCTGCTCATTTGATAATGAATTATGCAGAAGTGTATACAGAGTCACAGATGGGGAAGTGCTCCTTGAATTTTGAATAGGAGGGTAGCCTCGAATCGACAAATAAAATTCGAAGGAGCTTCTCGATTTGCGTCGCATTGTTCAGAATGCACGATACAATTTTTTTTTTTTCAGCACCCTGCCTTGTCTGCTGCTGCCAAATTAGCGCGAGGACTGGGTTCTCGGGGAGTCCCCTTAAGACTTAATTTCAAGAGAGCTGCGTAGCGCTGCTCGAAGCTTCGAGAGAATAATTCCATGACATTGTGTACTCGAGTGCCAAGGATGAACGAAGGACTTTGTATCATGAGAGAACAGATTATTTTATTTTGTCGCAGTAAGATGTGATAAAAAAGTATACAAAAAATGGAAGCCGATTACAACTCCCTGTAACGCCGAATTAGAACGCAGCTCTTGAGGAGAAGGAGGGGAAGGGTACTGAGGGGAAGCTATATCCTTCCTCCTTCCTCCTCACCTCCTCATCCTCTCTGCTACTCCTCCCTCTGGGCGGCGTCGCCGTCGCCTCACGAGGGTCACGTGACCTCAAAGGGGTCACGTGACGTCCCTGGGGTCACGTGACCGCACGGGGGTCACGTGACCCCTATGAGGTCACGTGACGATGACGATGCGGATGTCGATGACGTTATCAGTGACGTCACTGATGTCGTGATCAATGACAATGTCGATGACGTCATCAGTGACGTCATTGATGACGTTATCAGTGACATCACGCTTCCCATAATGCTCCGCGCAGTTACGCCGACGCCGACGCCTGTCAAGCCGCAAACGGTCGCTTAAGAGCTGCGCTCTTGAAACCTCTGCGAGTGAACGCGTCAGGAATTTATGTTATGGTCACTGACAGCTTAATGAACGCAGGGTATATGCGAACCTTCGAACGGTTTTCTTATTATTTGCCTGCAGCCAATCAAGAGTGCGGCGTAAGCTGATAGGAAACCGAAGAACGAATCACAAAGCGAGAAGTGTGGACTTAACATGACACACCCTGAGGTTTCTAAGCGGTCAGTGACTGCAAAACTGTTTTTAAAACTTCCGCTTTATGCCAATCAAGGAAGACTTAACCTGCATCGTGCAGTGATCGTCACACGAATGATAGTAGACGGCGCTCGAATTGAGTCACACGTGTCGTACGTAATTAAAATTTTGATTACGGCATCTGTCGAACTGCGGCGTGCAGTCTGCTACTCAACTGCACCTTATAGGACGGCGCAGACTTCAATGAGAAGTCGTTCGTACCTGAAAATGATTATTCAAATGACCGCTTTCTCGCACGCGCACGTAGTCACTTCTGAATATTTCAAGTAGTAAGTGATCGTCTTTGGATTTATCAAAGCGGACCATTCCTTTATGTCACTGGAACACGTAAGCTCACTGAAACACCCCACGGGCTAGCGCATCTTCACTTCCTCCATAAATTGTATCACTGTCATCCCACTGTCAGAAGTTTCTTCCGGTAGGCTCCTTTATGCACGGCCCTCTTTCCGCCTCTACAACTCCCGTAATTTTCGGCGCAAGTCAAGTTCAACTAACGTATAGTACAACAAACCCTTTCTGTCGATTACAGTTCCGGACTGTAACGGACTTTCAGAGCCGATAATTTTTCATTACTGCCCCCAGTTATTGCGCACGAACAACTCTGTAACAAAAATAGCCAATCCGTGTTAGAATCGCCACCCACACGAAGTAAATACGCTATTCTTGACCGCCTTGTACTGGCAACGTGATACAACGGCGGCAGTGACATCTTGCGCCTTGCCGCGCTTGATTCGCAAAGAGCACGCACCGCCATGGACTCCTATCTAGGACTACCAGTACTGCGCCTGTACCACCTAGAAGACCAAAGGCTGCGCCTTTTGATCCTAAACATGATCACTGAATGAATGGTTGAATGAGAACGGTTAAACCCTTTTAATCCGTCGCGGCTTGTTCCACCTAGCTTCTAAATCTAACAATGAACTAATCTCATATTAAATTTTCATTTTACGTTCGCCCCTGGGGCGGGTCGGAGATCTACCGATGATAACATCATGTGCAGGCCTTGTCTTTTTGCGGGTATTGGCTGAGCTGGGTCGATGATTACGTGTTCACCCTCATATGGATCACGTCTGCGTGCTACACCCCGTCGACTGCGTGCGAATAAATTAATTGGACCGAATTATGTGGCGAACGCTAGTGCAGAACACATTTCCGATATGTGCGCCGCATATGTGATGAGGTATTAATAAAATGCGCAGACGAACTTCCAATTGTTAAGGGACAGCGTTTTCACGTTCTGTGGGTCAGTTAGAGCAAAGGACGTCACTTGTCCAGAAGGACGCCTGCACGTCGACGGCACGTTGTCACGTACCTCGCTGTGATGTTCTAATTGGCTCGCCGTAGCCGTGGATGTCATCGTTTGTAAAGTTCTTTGGCGACGCAGAGCATAATCATTTCATTAGCGCCGACGCTCATACCTTGAAATGAACGGGTGTTATGCAGACGCACTACAATTCAGGAAATCGCTACTGCGTAAAGCACGATATCGACACCAAAGTTTCACCAAAAAAAGACTATGAAGCTTGGTTTGCACAGCGAGGCATAAACGCAGGCTCACTTTTCATTGCATATAAACGTGCAAAGAAACAATATATAAGATTTGTACCAACAAAGTTTTATACACAAATCACAATGGTAATCAAGAGGACCGGACTAGTAAAAAAATAAAAACCTCTTGTCCACCATTCTACTTTGAATATATTATTTTCGGTTGCTTATTTTAACGAGCCATTAACTGTAAGTAATACAATGCCGGTGTCAGTGATTTATTCCTGGACGATTATTCCTTCTTCACTTTAACACATACTGGGAATGACTAAGCTACGAGGTTAACCCGTCATAACCAGAGAATAAACAACAACCACAACAACAACAACAACAACAGTAGGCGTGAGTGGTTGGAAGCGGATAGCGATGCGTCATTCATAATATTTTGCAATGCCAGTGACACTCACGAGATACGGGTTCTATTTGAGGAGTTGAAGGTAGAAATGACGCTAGACTATTCGATCTGAAACAAAAAAGAAATACTGACACACCCTTAATTATTTATATGTATCAACTGTTTTTTTTTTTATCTCAAGGACACGGTTAGCTTTTATGGAAATGTCTTCTATTGGCCCGTTGACCAGAATTGTCTCGATACCTTCTCTTCAGGTCTACACGGCGGTGATCTTCACGGTGACCTTCATGACGCCCATGCTGGCGCTCACGTTCACCTACACGTCCATCGGCTGGAAAATGTGGAGGCACACGTCTCCGGGCAATGCGGACGTGCAGAGAGATCAGCAGCAGTTCTCCGCCAAGATGAAGGTGAGTGCATCCCTTTGCCGGCTGTTGCTCGAATTTTAGTGCAAAAGCATTAACTGTCTCATGGAACGAGCTGATGTCACCAGTCTGAAGCGCGAAAGCGTCTCCTAGTTTCTGCGATCCCAATAAGAGCGATTCGCCTTCGGTTTCATTGGTTGGCGCGAGTCGATGGGGCTCCCACTGGCCGCTGCGCCATGACCTCCGAGATCCCGAAGCGCGCGCGCGCTAATTAATGCGCAGCAGACGACAAAGGGAACGGACGAGCGGCTTGCGTGCTTTCGCATTCACAACTCATAAAAAATGCTAGGTGTACCTCGAGTTTTTTTTTTTCTTTTTTTTTTTATGTCTGATGTGGGAAATCCGTCTACGCACCCATGTATCTCTTGGTCCTTCGTGCCTATTCGATGAAACGGAGAAAATTAGCTCATTCGGACGTCGGTTACTTTAAAGGAAACGTGTAAATGTGAGTTGAACACACTGTATAACAATTCCTAAGGAATGCATAGTAAGATATGAACACTAAAATGCATATTTTCACTCGCGAAATGTCGGACGCAATGAGACAAGCACAAGAAGAAGAAAGATAGTAAAGTTATTGCAGCGGGGTTGGTCTTATAATTATGCAAAGTATATCCGGTGAAATAGTCGTGTTCATTTCTCGGAAGGGCAAGCCTACTAAATTTACTCGGTAGGTTGAGCGCGGATTATTTTTCTCAAATTACACTTTTCGTCGAGGCTGAGAGCTATGAGGGAGCTTGTAGATATATTACATGCACCATTTTTTTGCTCATTCAACTTGTTACAAAGGAAATTTATTTTCGAAAATCTAAACATTTAAATATTTATTTAAAAAAAAATAAGAAAAAAACGCTGTTGTTTTGATTTTCTTTTCTCAATTTTTGTGTGTGCAGCACCGAGTAAGAAGCAGTTCACTTACTCGGGGGAGTTTCAGCGTCAAAGTATTTTATTTGCCATTAGTGTCAAGACACTTGTGCGTTTCACTAAAATCGAATGAATTGTGCACATTCATTCGATACACGGGCTAGTATCATTGAGGTATGATCCACCTCGCCTCATCATGACAATGGACATTAAAGTGAGGCCGTCTATCGCCTTTAAAGTGCAACCCCGGTCAATTCCGAAAACTCAGATGTAACGGGCGATTATCGTGTCAAAACTACAAATACAGGGCTCTATTCCGTTCGTTTTGCGAAAAGTTAAACAGTATTCTTGCAATCCTCGTTTAAACTAAACTCACAAAGCGACACCGAAACCTTGCCCGCGGCAGGCAACATTAGTCCCACTCGTCAACTACTGGACATCACGTTTTAAGAATACGTCGGCCATGTCAAAAAAAAAAAAAAAAAAAAAGAGCGGCAGACGGCGCCTCATACTTTCTTATTTCTCTCTCGTCCTTGAGTTCCGCACCTTGAAAAATAAGAAACAAATTAATTCTTCCCGTTGTGGACGTTCTGCGAAGCGTTGGCTGTGTACACACAGCGGCGTTGACTGCGCTGCTCCGCACGCCGCGCGTCGCCCGCTAGATCGAGCGGTTTGGGTGACCATGGAGCCGCTCCGACTTGGTTGGACGGTTTAATAAACTTTTAGGCGGAATTTCTTCGTAATATCTTTTTACGTGTAAGCTTTTCAGATGATACGATGTAGGACCGCGTTGTTTCCTCAACACTGAAATTTGACTGTAATTGTCCTTTAATAGAAGACCAAAACTCAGAGTACTTGCCTCTCTTCTGACGAGCAGAGCCGTTGTTTGCGCTCAAAATCCCAGCACCTGTAGTTCTAGGGATATCACGATATATACACGCAATGGAAATCGAAGAGCCAAGATAGTGCGAATACATACACCTAAATTCAGAAACCCGAGGTCTTAAACATTACCGTGTCACGTTACCTTAAACTTCGGAGATCCACAAATTCACCTGTAGAGCTACTAAATAAGTACCGGCATTCCACTCCCCGATTTTCTTGTGGGCGCCGCCATTTTGGCCCTGGCTGCAGAGTGGACGCCATTGACGATCGTTGCACTTCGGAAATGAAACTTCCCGAGTTCTAGATACGGTGTGGGGAAGCTCAGGCGATATCGTTTTGCCCTGTGCAGACAATTTTGACATTTCATAAGGACAAAAACAAAAAAGAAAAACGCTTCCTGTGATTTCAGAAAATGTTTAAAATAGCTGGAAGTAATCATTTTTATAAAAACGATGGCTTTAGTGTCTTAACTATGAAGCATAACTGTTTTGATGGCTCTACAGTTTTCTCCAAAATGAGCCGACTATTTTTGTAAACACTGTCTAACCTCCTTCCATTTAATTACAATGTCTACCGCCGAGTCAGTTTGGGTGTTCCGGCTCAAAAGTGTAGATAGCTTAATCGCACCAAGCAATACTTGGTGCTTTTTTTCTTTACCCCTGAGACTATAAATCTGTGTAAGCACGCGTCTTAAAGCGGACATCTGTGGACGTTCTCCAGAAATGTTCAGAGACAATGAAGGTTTCTGTGGTCCGTGTTACGAGCTTTTTCTCTTCATCTGTGCGCCTTTATGGCGCTGTCCCATTACGTAAGCATAAAACACAAAACAAAAACAAAAAAAAAACTTAAAAAAAAAACAAAAAAACATAAGGGTTTTTCTATGGACGGATGTCACGCGGAGCAGTCTGTTTCGAGATGAAAGCATGATTATCGCGTTTTTGTGCTTTGTTCAGTTCGAGCTTAGAATACGCGGATGAAATTACGCATAATTCGATATCCTGGCAAAGTCATTGTTTTATTTTGTAGTCTTATGAAGATTCACCTACACCAGTGGTCTCAAACTCATTTGAGTGTGGGGGCCAGACAGCCCACACCGGAAAGGTCGAGGGCCAAGCTAAGACAGGGGCGGTGGGGGGGGGGGGGGGGGGGGAGGGGGGGTAGAATATTTTAATTAGATGTGACCGCCTGACCTATGCTTTTTGTAAACTCACATTTTTGCCAGTGACATTTTTAAATTTTATTTGTTTATGACTACTTTGGGACCTGCCCTGATGTGATAACAAGAATTAAAATGATACCGCCCCGCCGACGTGCTGACAATTTTAATAGAACAAGATAGCAAGTAATCTGTCGTTCAGTAACCCTACTGAACGACAGATTACTTGCTATCTTGTTCTATTAAAAAAACGTTGTTGGGCTAGTTGGTTCATCTTAGTAAAACATATAAAATAGCACAAGAAAGACAAAGACAATGTTAGCGCCTGTCCTGTATATTTCTTGTCCTTGTGTTTTTCGGGCTATTTTATATGTTTTACTAATCTGTCGTTCCCAGCTCAACATGTCTTTAAGAAACAATCAGTTAATTTGACAGTTCTTGCATTCCTCTCAATTGCTATTATAACACTCTGAACAAATACTCGTTTTCTAATGGTGATATTTTTTTGAAGGCGAGTATTCCGAGCTCATAGATTTATCTTTGGCACTTGCCCCTGCTAAGCGAGAGTTTGCCCAGCCGACATGCATCCTTCAACGAATAGCTCGCGCTGGCATACTAGCAGCGGAATTTTGCGTACATTACAAAAAGCTGGGAAGCAAGAAATAAAGCGAAACAAAGGGCAAATGAACACATGTAAGTATAAAATATATTAATATGTTAAAAGAGCAGAGGTATTTTTCGAGCAAAAATAAATCGACGAGATGAGATTACTACGACGCGGGTCATTTCTAGCGCTCGAGACATATAGAAACCGGGACTCGCAGCCGGTTGCCCTGCGGGCCGCTTCCCAGCGAGTCGAGGGCCGCATGCGGCCCGCAGGCCGCGTTTTTGAGACCCCTGAATTAGACGGACAATTATTCCCGACACGCGGATTAAAATCCAATCGAGAATCCACGTAGACACTTCCGTGCTGCCTCCTACAGGATTTCAAATGGCAGAACTTTGCCTAAAGTGTGGTTTCAAATGCTGGCTCGAGAAGCGGTCCTTCAAGCTCAAGAAGAGGGGCGAGGGCTTAGCGTCTCCTGCGACGCTTGGCAGACTTTACATAGAAACTTCATTGACGCTGGCCTTACGCAAGAAAAGAAAAAAAATCAATTTGTTCAGAGTGTTTTAAGTCAGGTCTCGCTGTTTTGGACACCGTTAATATAAATACCCTGCTATATGTAGAGACAAAAAGTTTTTTTTTGCGAGGGTGTGGGTTGGGATGGGGGAAGGGAGGAGGTGTTTATGTTAACGAGACATCACGGTACCTATCACGACGCGTTCCACATAACTGGTAGGGAAACATCGCTTATGCTTTTACCTAAATATGTAGGAAGCATTACGTTACGTAAATTGTCAATTCGATTTATCTCCGCTAGCGTAGAGAGCGCAGGTTTGACGTTTCAGTTTAAGTGCATAAAAAAAGAAATGTAAGACGTTTACAATTCTCTGTAATGCTGAATTAGAGCGCAGCTCTAATTCGGCATTTGGCGACAAATTTTCGCTAAATTTCTCGCCAAATTTAGCGGGTAAATTTTTCCGCTAAAGTTAGCGAGGAATTTTTCGGCTAAACTTCTGTTTGCTAAATTTAGCGGGAAAATTTTTCCACTAAGTGTAACGCGGAATTTTTTCCGCTATGTTTAGCAGGAAATTTTCTCCGCTAGATTTAGCGGGGAAATTTTTCCGCAAAATTTAGCAGGGAAATTTTTCCGCAAATATTAGCGGGAAATATTTTCCGCTAAATTTCGGGGAAAGGTTTCTCGCTAATTTTAGCGGAAAACATTCCCCGCTAAATATAGCGAAAAAAATTCCCCGTCAAATCTAGCGGAAGAATTTCCCAGCTATATTTAGTGAAACAAATTTCTCTCTAAATATAGCGGAAAAAATTCCCCGCTAAAACTAGCGGAAAATGTTTTCCGTGGACTTCAGCGAGGAAATTTTTCGACTAAACTTAGCTGGGAAATTTTTTTTTAAATTTTTTTTGCTAAATTTAGCAGGTACACTAGGGAGTTTTCGTAGATCGTTTCCGCTGTCCCGC